ATAACTTCATCTAATATATCCACAACACCAACATCAACATGTTGATTAAAGATCACTACCTTCCCCTTCACTACTGTCACCATAATTAGTCTCTAAGTCCATATTATACCTTACAGCAAACTATAAAACTTCAATAATCATTCTAAATAGAAAAATTCATTCAAGCATAGAGCAATTAAAAAGTAAAGCAAGCTAGAAATTAGAAGAAAAGGCATGTAAAAATTGTAGACTAGAGATAAAATTAATGAAACACTAAGGATGATTTTCACAAGGATATTAGATATAGTACTAGGGTCGAGTAAATGAGAGGACATGATCAAGGAATAGAACTCTCAAAATGTAGGGATGATAATGAGTAAATGAATGAGGAAATAAGTAATAATAGGGTCGAATGAGTAAATGAAAGGCATACCGTCAATCGAGTAAATAAGTAGAACTTACTAACATTCACTATTTCGGTGCCAGTGACAAACCTTTTCCAGCATCCTCCAACACTCTTTTCTACCATCCTTGTGGATCTCGGACTCTCACTTCCTCTTTTTCGTGCCCTAGGAATAAGGGCTATAGTTCACCAATAGTTCTTGGCCCTACTTGTTTCTTGTTTTTGTCTGTGCAATATACACATGGATGGGGTCTAATTATTAAATAAATACACATCAACTTTTTCCCTTTTTCCCTACAAAAAATACACATAAATATAATTAACATCGTTAGTGCCACGTCAGTACCCTTCAAAAAGTGTAGGGACTTAAAGTGTAGATAGAATAAACTATAGGGACTTAGATCTATGAAAATAAAATGTAAAAACTAATAGCAAAATGTGCATAAAATGTAGGGATTGAAGTTATGTTTTTCTTATATGAAATTATTATATACTATACGTGACTAAAGAATTTAATTCATACAAATTATTTATAAATGTTATTATATTATATACACTTATTGGAGCAATCATTCACTATTTTAACTTTCTAACATAAATTGTTCAAATTTATTTGCACAAATTACTTGTTATTTGTATAACATAATTGTGAATTAATTTTGTCTTGATGATTTATTCGTGATCTGAATTAACATAAAGAATGCTTATTCAATAATGAAATGATATAGAGTTGAAATCAAGAACTGTAATAAAAAAATGAAAAATTAGTGAAAATGACCTAGTTGAAATCAAAATTGTGCCTAAGGACCAAAATACATTGAAGGACCAAACCTATTATTTTATTCATAAAACAATTTTCTTAAATGATCAAAATTCCCCTCCATGTTAACTAAAAAAGAATCTAGAAAAATTCAGTTGTTAGAGCTCTAGCGACCTTCGGCCAAAGCTCTAATAGTTGATGGCACGCTTGCCAGAGCTTTAGTTGGTAGGTGAAGGGTTGTTAGAAAATGTTGCTAAAAAAATTCAATACCCCTTGATTACATGTAATCATCAAAGATTACATGTAAATTCAATAACTAAAGGGTGTATGGCTTCTAACTTAGGTGCAAGGCTTCTAGATTGTAATATCTAGAGGATTACATGTAAATCATTCTTTAGTTATGCTCATAAATTTCTTCACATATTGGTTTACATGTAATCCATAGCAGATTGCATGTAAATCAAACACACACAGAACACACCCCTATTAATGCCCCTGAATTACATGAAAATGACTACGGATTACATGTAAATCTATATATGAAAAAATTCACGAGCGTGCCTAAGGAATAATTTACATATAATATCTAGCGAATTACATGTAAACCATTGTCAGTGCCCATGAAGTACATGAAATGACTATGAATTATATGGAAATGACTAGGTCAGAAGTTTTACACCCTAAACCAAATCCTTTGCATCCAAGCAATAGCTTTGCACTTAAGCCATACCCAAGAAAATTGTTTTATGAATAAAATAATAGGTTTGGTCCTTCAATGTATTTTGGTCCTTAGGCACAATTTTGATTTCAACTAGGTTATTTTCATGAATTTTTCATTTTTTTATTACAGTTCTTGATGTCTTTATTAACATAAGAAATGTTTATTCAATAATGTTCATTTTCAGCAATGGGAATGAACTTTTGAAGACAAGCATATCATTGCATTTATTTATATTTACAAATTTGCCATTTCCCAGATGTTAACCTCCTTTGCCCGTGTCATTCATCACTTTCTTTCTTTCTTTCTTTTTTTTAATAGGAAGCAGGAAAATTCATTCACCCCAAAAAAGGCACGGTGCAAAGCGAAAAAACAAAGCAAGCAGGGAAACAAGATCAGCTAACCTTAAGACATACAAAAAGCACCCCAAAACTAGCTAAAAAGGGAATGTTGAAAAGACTAAAGTCATTTGGCAAGTTATGAGCCAACTTGAACATATAATCAGCTATCCTATTTTCTTCTCTATACACAAAATTAAATTGAACAAACTAATATCTACATACAAGTTGTCTCATAGGATCAATAATATCATGAAAGGGGTAATAATTATAATTGTTCCTTACGATTAACGAAATATCGCTCACACAATTAAAAAAAAATCCTCCACAGTCAATAAAACCCTTTTGCCAGCAAACACCGAGGCCTTTGAGAATGCCATAGATTTCAAAAATGGTAGCTCGCATGTTACCAATCTTTTGGCTAAAACTTTGAAAGTCCATTCACATTCTTCAAAACTCAGCCACAAATACTTAGGCCATTTTGAAGAGTCGATCCATCAAATTTCAATCTAATTGCATCATTGCTCGTCCTATGTTTTATTCTCACAAATCCCTAGATAATTTGAGTATAAAATTGTTTCATTAAGATTTGATCTGCAGCCACCTTAAAGGCAACATTGTGAGGATCTTCAAGTAAACCTTCCTCGTCCTCCTGAAAAAGAGTGGAGCATCCATGTTTTCAAATATTTCAATAAATATGAGCAAATAACACATTCTAAGATACATTCCTATTGATAGGGTTACCGACATTTGCTTTGATATTCTACACAATCCATTCACGCCTATCAAGGGTGAAGAATTTATCAACCAAATCTACACGCACATACTCTCGCCACTATCATTGGGCATGCTAACAATCCTTGAAGAGGTGTATGGTATCCTCCACATCATTGGAACCGAATGGACATGAACCATTGATATTCAAACGTATGCATTCCAAGTGCAATTGTATGAACTCTATCTTGCACAACAAGCCAAAAAAGCCTTTTCATTTTCTCTGAGATATTCCATCCCCAAATGTTACGCCATATTAGGCTCGTTTGGCATGATGAAAGAATTTTTAATGGAATTAGAATCGAAATTGAAATTAGAATTGGAATCAGAATCGGAATATAATTGAGTTTTAAAAGTGTATTTGGTATGAAGATAGAATTTAATATAATATTAATTTATATAGGTACTTAAAATAGGAAAAGACTAAATTGCCCTTTTTTTTAATTAAAAAGACCTATCTTATTATAAATGGACAAAAAAGATGAGGATAAGGAGTCCACAAATTAAAAAAAATTGAAGTAATTTCATAATCAATATGACGAATTGAATTCTAACATTTTTGTGGAATTAGAATTTGGCCTCAGTTCTTTACTTTCCTTCGTATCTGCAAAAAAAAAAAAAAGAATAAACATTCACAGAATAATTATGGACTCTTTTGTTCTCTATTCATCACTGTCAACATCCCTTGCTTCACTCACTTCATCACCTTCCTCGGCGTCGTCGGCGACCTCCTCTCCGACCACATCACCCCCTCCACATTCTCATTCACTCACTTCGTCACCTTCTTAGCGAGAGAACACAACCATGGATAGCGATGGGGAAAACAACAACCAGATCTGGTTAGAGTTCCATGGCACCGTGGTAAGGCACGAACTAGATCTGGTTCGAGTTCGCGATTTGGATTATGAATCATCATTTGCTTCACTCACTTCGTCACCTTCCTCGGCGCCGTTGGCGACTCCTTATTCCTCGGCACCGTCGGCATGAGCATTTAGTTTGGGTTCGGCGCCGTCGTGATTTGGATTTTGGAGTGTGCCTGAAATCCTTAAGATGCGGCTTGCGTGACTTCGATATTTACAAACCCAAATGGAATCGATGCAGGAATCATGGGATAGCTGGTTCCAGGATCTGGTAATCCTTCAAGTTCAAAATCTGTCAATGCCCAACATCTCACGGCTTCGAACGCCTCTCTTTACGCTCAATGGCTCAAGTCGATTCTATCTTCATGCAAGGAGACAAAGCTTCTTTTGATGATTTGAATTTTGATTACGGAAATTGTTGTAATTTTTAGTTCTTCATATTTGGATTCCAGAAATTGTCGTTATGATTTTTGGTTCTCCAAATCTCATCGTGCTGTTGGTTTTTATAAAATTTCCTCCGGTGAGGAAGAGGCATGGGGAGAGGAGGAAGAAGAGGGCATTTTGGTATTTTAGTACTATAATTACATATATAAATATAAAATAAAAATTATATCATCATTCCACCCTACCAAACATACTGTTTAATCTTATTCCCATTCACATTTACCTTTTCCTATTCTCAACTTATTTTTATTCCATCAAAATAACACGGTAATGATACATTATTATTGGGTCCGTTTGGATTTCAGTTGGGTATAATAGATTATAAAAATAATTGATTAAATATAAATTTTAATTATAATTGATTATATTAGAACGCAATTTGTTTAAATGTTATTTTTCTAAAATTGATTTTAACAGAATTGAAGATGTTTAGATAATTTTTTTAGAATCAATTTTAGATGTTTAAATTACCATAAAGGACATTGTTTTTAAAATTTAAATTATTGATAAATTTGTATCTAATAGTATTAAAGTTGTTACATTTTATTTAAGAAGCAAAATATATTATTTAAACTACATATATAATTAATTAAAAAATTAAATTATATTAATATTAACATTTAAATTTATGTAAATAAATAACTAAATATATCTTACTTAAAATAAATTCAATAAAAGACAAGAAAATTAAATTCTTAAATATAAAACAGTAATTTTACAATAATTAATGAAGATGATCATATACAAGTTGATCCCTAATAATATCACAAATACTAATCATAGATGATGAAAAAGATGTCATGAATGAATATTCATCAACGCCATGGTCTTCTTGATCCTCATAGTCTTGCTGATCTTCCCTCTCATGACGCATAAAATCAGCATCAGAGTTAGAGCGTCTTTTAATGAAATTATGTATCGCCATTGATGCAACAACAATTTGAACTTGTATATCGTAGTCATAGCTAGGCATGTTGCGTAAAATTGCAAACCTTTTCTTCCAAACTCCAAATGTTCTTTCTATTGTGCACCGTAAACTTGAATAAAAATAATTAAAGATTTCGTTATTATTTGCAAATCCAGTTGATCTTCTAAAATCAGGAAGATGGTAGCGTTCCCGTCTATACGGACCAAGATATCCATTTGGTGTTGGATAGCCAGCATCCACCAAATAATATTTACCTTATAAAAAAAAGATTACCATTAGTGCCTGTAAGCTGGAAAGTCTAACACAAATAAATTGAACAAACAAATATACCTGAAGGCGGGTGTGGAAAGTTCATGGATCGAGTTGTCAGGGTATGTTGAAAAATGCGAGCATCATGTGCAGTGCCCTCCCATCCAGCTAAGACAAAAGTAAAGCACATGTCCCAATCACACACAGCCATTACATTTTGTGTAGAGATTCCTTTTCTTCCAATATATTTTGATTTCTCACTAGCAGGGACTACACATGGAATATGTGTGCCATCAATTGCTCCAATGGCATTTTTAAAGAATGGCCAATATCGCTTATCATTTTCTATTTTGTTTGATACATGATGAAAGGACCTGTCTTGTGGTTTGATATATTCCATTGCAAGTTTCGAGCAAGCCATTAAAACTTCATGAAAATGTCTGTGAATAGTCTCTCCTGAATGTTGAAATCTTTCTTGTGCCATCCTATTTCCCAACCCATGTCCAATTGTATTTAAAAAAATTGCAACCATCTCCTGTACTCTCATTCGCCTAGTATCCTTCAATCCATACCATGTCAATTCATTGCATAATTGATGGAACATATGTGGTTCCATTCTAAACATTTCATAGCAACGAACTGGGTGTCCTTCTAAAATTTCATTCACCCACAAATAACCTGTATATTCACTATTTCTTTGTGGCTCTTTGCACAAATGTTTTGTTGCATACAACCTAATGAGAGCACTAACTTTTTGGGCTCTATTGAGCCTTTTTTTAGATGACTCTTCCATATATCTTTTATCTGTAGCCAAACACATAAATAATACGTGCACTTAATTTCAATTATAGATACATCTAAATAAGTCATCTATAGAAATACCAATGACTTTTCCACAACATTGTAATACTTGATTACCACATATAAAAAGTACATAAATAGTTCAAGAGGCTACATAAGTCAAATTCTACAACATAATACAAACATGTTAGACTACTCTTTAAGTAAGATTATATACTCATAATAAGTTTTAAAACTCCAATAATCAACCATTTTTGTAACATTCATATCTCAACTACTCCAAAACACTTTCTTTATCATCCTTTATCGTTAAAAACATCACCCTAGCCTCTCGGGACATAAAGAGTGACATGCATTGTGAAACCCAATGTTTTTCAGTTGCAACTTCTTCCCATTGTTTGACTATAGACATGACTTGGGGAATTGATGTTTCCTTGGCCTGTTGAGATTCTTCCTTTGTTGTCTAAGCTATCACACTCATTGCATTTGCTATTTGACTTGTACTAGGTAACTTGTTCTTCTTTCTACCGTTACTGCTTTCGCCCCTCTTCCTATTACCACTGCCTCCACTTAAGGTTCCTTAAGAAGCATTTAGAACTACTCTATTAAATTCACCGCTTACTCCAATAGTTCCTAAGATCTCATCACTATCTCTTGAACCTTCCTTTAAATTAATACCCTCATTTGCCATATCTGGCTGATACACCTCTTCATCCTCACCTTCATTCTCATTGTAAATGTTAGGCAAAACTCCACTTGAAGGTGCCCATGCTCTCAGTCCATTGGCGATAGTACCTTGGAACAACTCGGTTAATTCATTGGCAAATGGTAATCCTTTATATCTGAATTTCTCGTATAATGGATTTTCTTGCACATAAATTATCAATAATATTACAAATACACAAATAAATAAAATAAATATAAAGCCTCATATAATAACATCTTCTTCTTCCACCAATCATCTAAAGCATCCACAGTATTGTTTACATAACCCCAACCCAATCCTGTCTCACTTGAAACCAACTTATCCCATAGTACCCACTCTTTTTCATATTATCCCACTTATTCTTGAATCGTTGTCTCTCATATTTCTGTCCAGTCTTCTCATTGAAGGTAGAAATTATGTTGAGCCATCTTGCTTTGGTAAAACTATTGCCATTTCTTTGCGATTTTGAGCTTGGTCTAAACAAATGTCAATAAAGAGTCTAGTATTTCTTCGATCCCATGAAGCTTTTGACTTATTGTTACTCATTATACTATATAAAAAACTAACATATTAATTATAGGAATTATAATTAAAATATTACATGACAAAAACTTGGCAATTTTTAGAGGAGCCAAATTCAACAGAGACTCACATAGCAAAAAATTTGACTAAATGACCCCTTATATGCAAAACATATTGTTTGAGAATAAAGCTCCAGTAATCAGTGATCACAAACCAAAACCAACAAAGAGTTCGACTTGGCACAAAATTAACTTTCAACAGCTTTCCCACAATTTGCAAATGTATAACATTTTGACTAAAATTAGGTTTCAATAGCTAAAAAATTAACTTTTAACAGGTCTCCCATTTTCAACACAGAGTTCAACTAGGCACAAAACTAACACAGAAATAGCATGAAAAATCAACTTTCACCCATATTATTATTTGCAAATGTTCAAGAGTTGTAAATGGTTCAAATCACACAAAACTAAGCCAGCAATCGCGAGAACAAATCCATCCGTGTATAGGTCAGAGTGGAGAGGAAAACAAATTTGAGCGACCTTTCTTAAACGTGAGGCTCTATTTCTACACTGTATTGCTAGAAAAACGTGTGCTGTTGCAATGCATCATTTTACTCTGCTGATTAGTACAGTGATAAGGTTTGGATCCGTGCTTTGAAGTCTCTATCTGTGTATATTTCATTTCTTATTTCAAACCTGACTAAGATCGTCCAAAAGAAGGTTAGAGAAGATCATTTACCTCTGAGTCAGACCGACTGAAGAGGACCATGAGCATATCAGCGACGGACGGAGGACCACGAGCATATCAGCGACGGACGGAGGACCACGAGCAGATCAACAACGGACGGCCGACGATGAGCAGATCTCAAAAACAGAGTATAGATAAGGCTTACTACATCCTCGACTATGGCAGGAGATCACCACCACTGGAAGCAACTCGGAGACGACGGATGGAGGAGGAGACGCCACGAGGACCACAGATCTGCACAGAGTTGGCAGACGGCCGAAAGATCCTTGCCTCTGTGAGAACCGACTGTGAGATGGCATACCTATTGGAGGCGGGTAGACGACGGCAGAGCCAGCACGACGGTGAGACGGTGGACGGTGACTAAGTTGGGGATGGCTGGACGACGGTAAAGAGGCGGCACCACCGTAAGGACCGACAGGTGAGACTGAACGAGAGAGGAGATCAGAAATGTGGAATGAGAAAGAAGAGAGAAATGAGAAATGAAGCCACGATTGATGAGAAATGAATGAAGATTAGAAAGAAGAGAGAGAAATCATGTTATGGGTAATATGAATTTTTCAGCTTTACAGAGAAAGAGCACGTGAATAATGATAAAAAGCTAAAACCTGAAACTGGTTTTGATAGATTATGAATTAACGCGTGTTTAAGCTCTTTAATCGATTATTGCATTTTTCTAGTGTTTGGATAATTTCAATTAAAAAATCCATTATGGGCTGCAAAATCAATTTTTGTGTCCATCCAAACAGACACATTGTCAGCAAAAATTCTTCCACATTTTCTTCTTATCATTTTCCCTTTTATTTTCTAATCACAATTAATATTTGAACGGTTACACTTAATTTTTTATAAAATGTTTTATTTTTACTTCAAGTTTATAAATTCTTGATCTCATGTTTAAAAGAGAAAATAGAAAATATGAAAATCTCTGCCCCAAAACGAGTCCAACTACTTACATATAATGCGGATAGCCAATATATGAATTACAATAAATTTTATTTTTATAAGACTTCTTTAATTTTCGTGTCAGTCAAAATATTATCACAATTTCTGGTCAACTACAAAAACGGGCATTCAGTGGATGCTTTAAGTCTTATTGTAATACTATATTTACTATATGCTTCTAAAACCAGCAAAAACATTATTACCACCACCATAAAATCTAGAAATCAACCAAGATTCAACTTGTAAATCCAACTCAACAATTCAGCTTTCAGAATTAGAGAGACTATATAAATGAAGTAATAACGAGTACTAGCACGAAAACGAGTTACTTGGTAGACATGCGATTATTTAGGAAATTCGTTTTCAGAAATAGTTACCTCATGAATTTGAAGAAATAATAGCATATCTATTAAGCAACAAGCATAGGAGAGTAAAGAGCTTGCAAACTGAAAACATTGACTATGCTTTGATACTTTTAAGCAGTCACAAACCAAAAGGCCGCGAACTATCAGACGCAAATGCACAGAAAGGGATTGCGAATGAGACCAGCATATTGATGTAAGTTTAACAATTCGAAACAGCAGGGAGTGAAAAATTAACCCCAGAAAAAAATGAGCAAAGCAATGACAATTAATTTAAATCACAATTGCTCAGGACGCAGAAGATTGCATGTAAATTCTTTAGAAACAATCTCCCGCGAACCCCACAATCATCACTCTTTCTATATGCAAACTCCCTTGGTATATCAAAAGGATAACTTGCCACTCTGTTTCCTGTCAACATAAACAACAATCAAAATAATGAATTCAATGCGATCTAAATACAGCAGAAATAATCAACAGGGAAAAAGAAATCAGTTTATTGCATAAATAAGCAACATAAAATATCCATGATTATGGCTGAAAAGAGGGCATCTTGATGGCTGCGTACATTATAGAAAGGTCTAGTAAATCTAAAGGGAAAAGTGAATATGAGCCTATCTAATTTTGTCTTACTGAAGCACTCAATGACACAGAATTAACATGTCTAGCAAAATAAACTTACAATCTAGCATTAAAGTAAGACAACTCGCTATCTTAGAGAAGCTTGCCCAGCAACAGACCTTTAAAAAAAACAAAGGTTAGCAAACTTCCCTTTCCAAACAGTTATATATCGTTGGACAATAAGGCACAAAAGCATAATGACAAATGCCATAACAAAAACTGTAGAAGTATTACCTGGTCTGCTGTTTCACAGCCGAGAACATTGTTGTCCTCCCGTTTGGAGGGCCTGAATTTTGGGCACTGCTCACACTTGATCTGTCAAGGCTTCCCCTATTGCCACCAGTTGAAAGTACAGAAGACAGCACAGACCAATTTTCAGGGCCATCCACGTTCTGAGAATCCTTAGATTTACTCAAAATTTTTGCATTTGCAAGCCCACGAGTAACACTGACACTCACACCATTTGTTTGTTGGTGCTTTAGGGCTTCATCAGTTGGATTTGAAGAAATGACAGCAAAGTCCTTCACAGATATGTCGGTTTTAACATTCTTGGGATCAATTGAAGGACCTTTCTTCAGGCGATGAGACTGAGCCATTGGCGTAACTGCTACAGTGGGCAAATATGAAGAATAAGAAGATGATGATGATGCAGCCGCTGCGGCAACTTTGGCAACAGCTGCAGTTGCCACTACCATTTTCTGTGCTCCTTCACGAAGCTGAATATAATCACCCTCAATCATAAATAACTGGGGTAGAAAAAAAAACATTATCAGGTTATAAAGCAATTGCATTACTTGAATGCAGATACTTCTATAAATACAAACTCTAACTTAACACTCACCTCAGGATGGCTGGCCACAAAATCATCAAGCTTTCCATACTTTCTCTTGTAATCATGCCAGTGTAGAGGTGCAAGCATCTTGCCCAATCTGTTAGGAAGCTGCGTTTCAAAGGCATAACATATCAACTATATTAGCTTCAAAATCCAAACCAGCCGCACCATAAAGGAGTCTAAGAATATTGTTAGGACTTAACTAACCGTTGAACTAATTCGAATTCGTCCACCAGCAGGAATAGTACGTACAATACAAGCTAATAGCGTCCTTTCATCAAGAAGAGTAACCTCAGAAGTCCTTATAATTTCTGTCAAATTTGTCTGCCCAGTTGGGACATATGCTTCAGGCAAGACTGAATCAGCAGAAACATTTGTTGCCATTTCACTTTGTTTAACTAAATGGACTGTGTGGGATGATGCAGTTGCAGCAGAGTTCGTTTGCTCTGCCATTAAAAATTGGTCCCCTGGTCCACAATTTGTGGAAGCCACTGCATTCTCATCCTGCGCATAGAAAACAGTTAGTTTCCATATTCTAAGCTGCAAAAGTAGATGGATAGGATCTGATAGCAGCATTTTTTCTTTTTCAAGTTACTTCTACTTATGTGTTCTGTGCATAATAAAAAAAATATTTTAAGCATCTGGCAATTTTTAAAGATACCAAAAATATGCTGCAAACTTTAGGGCCATTTTAGAAGACGCATTTAGTATCTGTGCACTTTTAATTTTGCATGCAACATACAGTAATAATACCCAGATGATTCCTCAAATAGTCAAAATTGCAAAAATATAATGTTAAAATATTTACTATCCTGTAAATCCAACAAAAGCTTCTGAAAAGGACGAGCAATATAAAAGTCAGCCTATAAAAATAATGTTTTGACCATCCAAATAAGTGTTTGTAAAGGAAGCAGTAACAAACCTTGATTTCTCTATTCTGTTCAAAAGAATTCAATCTTAAGGCGCTATGGAAATGGGAAGAAATTTGATTTAGGCTCTGGTCTGGTTGCGAAGCTACAGGTTGATCTTTGTCAACTGACTGAAGAACCAAAGAAAAATTAAACTATCTTCAGTATCACACACATTAATCAAGAACAGTAAAATATTCAATAAGAATCATACAAAGTTTCTAAACCTGTGTTTCCCCAGTAGATGATGTAATCATAGTTTGTGGTTCCTCCCCTTGGCGGATGTGAACATCCAGATAGTTTCCAAGAACTTGTCCATCAATAGAATTCTCATAATTATACTTCGCATCCAATCTCATGGAATTCTGATCAGCTTGAGATGAGGCAGGATCATCCTGTATGGATGCTTGTGAACCCTCTGATACATCCTGAAGAAACAAGTGGTGTTCTCACACCAAATAACGTATCACCAATACATGGTAAATATTTAATTATTTCAATACCTGTTGGTTCTGCCACTGTTGCATAGGTGATATTGCCTGTACTGAGTGAAAATGTCCAACCTGTGGAGCAACTGAGTGGGACACTCCTTGCTGATGCATGACAAATGGATGCAATGCAGCTACTTGACCAGGTGGGAGGTAGGAAGGCATCCCGAGGAGAGATGATGGGGCAATAGGGACACCAGGAACATGATCGATCTAAAAATCACAAAAAATGTTGTCAAATTTTCATTATCTTTACATGTTCAATCTGTAGAGAAAAATAGGCCTCCTATCAGAATATAATAGGCATACAACCGAGTCATTGAGTATAACAACCTGATCATCGCAAAAAATCTACAATAAATACATAAGTGGACATTTTTATAACTTAACATCTGGTTGTAGCTCAGGAACAATATGAAGGAAAAGGAATAATCTATTAAATTATATAGAGCAAGCATCTCACTCTAATAAACTTCATAGCCAAATAGGAGAATCTTCAAGGGAAAACAAGGTTTATTACTCAGTGATATCCTGCCATTATAGAAGCGAGGATAACCAGAAATTACAACGAAACAAATCAAATAATCAGAAAATAACTAAAGATAAGGTCCTATTATTCAGCTACTAACAGCAAAACGAAACAATAATAATTAAAAATAACAGCAACTAATTAATTTAAATCAGCTAAATCCCTCATAATCTGCATAACAGCATCAGACTCTTATCTTCCTCCTCTTTCTGCGTTGATACGTGATTATGGGTCTGTTATGCTGACTTGGACCCTTATCAGCATCACATTATTGACTCCTTAACATAAGTTTCTCAACGTGCTACCATTATATTGTAGATTTTGATAGAAAATACCTAAACTGCACCCAAGTTTTCTACCTATCATAGAACATGCTTCCACATCAATGATAGACATCCTATATCAGCATCTTAAAAACGTCATCTATGCACTAAGCATCTGCAGTGCTGCATTACTATTACTACTTCCTTAATAACAAGATATCAGGCAACCCAAACAAAAAATATCTATGCTTGACACGGCAATATATACAAATGGCTGTATATTGTTAACCATATTCCATAAGTGGAAAGTAAATGCATAATAGAATCAGAACAGTACATAAAGTAATTACGTTCACAAACATGTAGATTAAATGAATAGAATTCAACCATATAATGCCTCTTCTCAGGCATTCAATGCTTAACAACAATCTGCCACAGACGCTATACAGCAGTCACTAAAAAGCCACAACAATCTCTTACAGCTTCACCCAGGTCCCTCCAATACATGGTAAAAATTATATAATCCCTTGAACAGAATATTAAAAATTGATTTTCAGGAGAGAAAAAACATGTTGACAGATAGTTAACTATGAAACTATTAATCAAAGCACCTACCTGAATTGCTGCATTTCCATTAGATGCAAAAGGTTGAACACTATCCGAATTCTCATTTGCAAGAAGGCCATTATTTCCATTAGAGGTGCTGCTTCCATTTACACCAAATTGGCTTCCATTATCTTGTCCAAACTGAGATGAATTCTTCTCATTGTAAGTTCCACTCCTCTCTCTTGCCTCGACCAGCTCAAGTTGAAGTTGCTGTATGGCATGTAAATGAAGTCTCTCCATATCGGCAAACTAACATCATCAAGCCACTTAAAAAGTAAGCAAAATCACACAAAAGCCAATGTTAATTAGACATAAAATAAAATTACAAAAGTAACAATACTAAGAAGGGCCCGTAAACGATTTATAAAGATGAAATTAAAAAGTATAATGTCATGACACCAAAACTTTAAATTAGGGTTATGATAATATAGATCAAGCAACAAATCTTCAAAACTGAAGCACAGAGATTATAAATAAACATGCGACATAAAACTATAGCCACAAACCAGTGCGAAACAATATACATTTCTGTTTACAAGACAAACAAAAATAGATTCCATGAGTAAGAGAAAGGATGGCAAATTGACCTGTCTTTGATAACCCATCCAGAGTTGGTTATATTGCTCTGTCCGTTCTCGCAATTCAGCCTGTAATGTCTGGTTTGTTGTTGCTTGATAAGCATCAACCTCACGAACACGAGCAATCCACGCATGAGCCTCTCTCAATTGCTCATCTTTGTACATAATGGTCTCCTGAGCAACCCTGTGCTGAAAGATAGAACCATTATTAGAACATGTAACCCCTAAAAGCCATTGTATTTTCAAATAAAGTTATAAAAAACTAAAATCACATATAGCCACTATTGAAAGGAATACAGCTAACAATACCAGAAAGGGGAATGCTTTACAGTATTCAAAATTAGGGCAATACCAGACAAAATTTAATTTGATACGCATACATCAGTAGCATGTCTGCAATGCAAGACTATTAACTTAGAGGCATCACAGAAAGATTAGCACACAAAATTCCAGGCCAAGAAAGAAAGCACACAAAATTCAAATATACATACCTGTTCCTTCAATTCCATCAGCTGCCTCTCTTTTTCTTGAATAAGTTCTTGAAGATCATGTATTTGTTGTAAATGCTGTGCTCGTTCAGCTTCTGAGTGATCACGCTCCATTCTGTAAAAGCATTTACTTATAGAATCATGTTGAAAACAAAAAATTTTGCGGCCTATCAAGCATCCCATTGGTACAATTTGAGGAAGAGAAAAATATCCAGGCAACAATGTAATACAGCAGGGATTACTTGATTTGCTTCAAGGATGAAGTAAATCCATACATATATGTAATACGCCCTCATCAAACTTGCCCATATTATATATGCTTATACAGTAGTTAAAGAAAAACCTGAAAGTTGCAAGTTCTTTGTTTTGCTCCCGGAGAAGGTCCTGTTTCGCCCAGGCCTAAAAGAATAACAAGAATACCAAGTAAATCGATTAGTAGTATTAACGTCAGCATTTAAAAAGCATCTTTTTATAATAAAGAGCCATCCAACAAACCGCTTCATTGTCTAATTTAATAGCATGCAGTTCTCTGTCTTTCTCTTCAATTTTCCTTTCCAGCTCATGTACTGTATGATCCCTTTCACGGAGTTGCTCCTGCAAAGCCAAATTTACAAGCTTTTAAAACAAAGTCGCCTACCATAAATAGATTATCAGCACAAAATTCTTTATTTTCTCACAATGACAAACAAAAATCTGCATCTGCACTGCAGTATCAATAAATGGTCAACAGACATGACAAACTCGATACTACTAAAAAAGGCTACAAATGGACAATGAAAAAAATATTTTAACCATAAAACTTGAAGAATAATAGATTTTTCGTGTTAAATTAAATAGAGCAAACTAAACTACAGAGACCACATATTATATTTAATTTACACCTGAAGCTTGCAGGCAGCATTAGAATGTTCCTTGAGTTGAGCATCAAAGCTATTTTGCATTTCAATTATCTCAGTTCTTGCAATCATTTGAGCTCTAATCTCAACCTCGATGCGTTCTAACTCCTCCCTTTGTCTAGCAACATCCTGAATTCGTTGCTGCAATATATCATTGTCTAATGTCCCATCCACTGTCACCGAACAGAAATCAACATCAAGGGGCTGTCTTCCTTGCTGCACCTTGAAAAGGAAAAAATCATCTTCAGTTCCTAAATCCAAAACACTGAAAAGAAGCTTCTGTTACCATAAACATAACCTTACCTCATATATGGTTCTTTCATCTGATTGCCCCAACTTTCTTTGTTCTAACTCCTGCAGAATAATAGATGTCCAGTTAGCAATCAAATAAAATGAAAAATAAGGAAAACAAAATAGCTCCTTCCACCATAACCGGAATGCCAGCACAGCACCCTTTAAAAAAATATGACTGAACAGCGTAGCTTTGATATTAAACTTGAACGGCCTCAAACAATTTGCTTTCACTTCACTGCTCTCATTTATAAAAGTCAATAGCTCAGTTCCTAATATATGCACGGTTAATGGGTAGGGGATAGCCTGCAATAAAAGCAAATAAGTCTCTAAAACTTGAGTGGTGGACACTGACGGACCATATGAGGTTTCTCTAAACCAAATATTGAAAATATAGAGAACCACGCACTATCCAAAAGATAGAACATAGAAATAAAATTTAGAAACCGAATCAAATTACGTATTTCACCTCAGTCTTGATGTGTGAAAAGAAAATACAGTTCAAACTTATATAGACTTGAGTCATCTAAGACAAGATACTTGCTTCACAAAGACAAGCACGGGAACTACATATCCACCGAGTGTGCGCAAGCTAAGGACCACATTATCCACCTACACACTACTCATGACTTCTATTAGCCACAGGGTTTGTGCCCAGAAAAACCAATAGCCCCTGAACTTTAAAAAAAAGATACAAAGATGAACATAGACTAGCGCGAGCCGACAAAGCTAAACCCTAACCCCAATTTGGACAGTGAGAAATATGTTAATCCTCAGAAGGCATGCATTGAGAAGGAGATCCAATGTTTTCATTCTCTCGATCTCTAGCAATGGGTAAGCTTCAATTCCACATCTTTGTGTTTTCATCATTTCCCACGTTACCCCGCTACCAAATAAGACCCGGTAAAAATATTGCCGCTGACGAATCAATACCTTGTCGTCTGGGTTTCCAGCTAGATGATGCTCCGCAACAGCGCGCCACTCCTGCCGGGACAATGGCATCTGGAAAGAAGAGCCCCGAGTGGCGGTGGCAGTGGCTACACTGGCCGTGCCCTCCATTGAGTGAAAAATCGAAGACACTGATGTTCACTCAATATGTATCGCCCAAAAATAATATCCCTTAATTTTCAAGGGAAAAACATTAGCAAAGCCCTAAAACTGGGGGCTTGCGAAAGCAGGGCACTGGCACCGCAGAATAATGTTGGGAGGGGGATAAGAAGGAAAGGAAAGGAAGGGGGGGTCCGGAGGATAAAAGGGTTTTGGAGGGATTCCTGTTTAACCAACTCTCATGTCGGGTAATTTTTATTTTTTTTTTCAACCCTCATGGGTGTGTCTGGATTTTGGCATAAGTGATCATAAAAAAATTTGATCAGCATAATAAGTTTTAATTATAATAGATTGATTATGTTATGATATGATGTTGTTTGAATACTAATTTTTTAAATTGATTTTAACCAAAATTAATTTTTGATATATAAATTACAATAAAGGATATAAGTTTTGTGATGGATATTGGTAAAATTGCATATAATATTATTAAATTTATTTTGATTTGTTTAACAATAAGATGTGGTAATGATACATTTAACATTTGTAAAATTATTTAACATACGTATATTTATTAACAATATAAATTTAAATTTAAATTATATTATAATATTAATGTTTTAATTTGAAATGAAAAAGATCCTTGCTTCCACAATGCCACTCTCTGCTATCCCTCCAAACCCTTCCACCGCATCATGTCCCTTCGTCTCTCTGACGCCTCCTCCTACATTGCCCTCAAATCCCTCTTTCACCCTTCAGTCTCTCTAGCTCCTCAATTGCCCTGCCACTCCCATTCGTTTCCCTCCCAAACTTGTTGCCTCTCCTCGCTCCTTCACATGTATCAACAGCCTCCGTTAGGTCTTCGGTGTTTAGCTCCCTTGCCTCGAGAACCTCACCAATCCCACTGTCTCCAATGTCCAAGTCAAGGCTTTAGGCCCTTATGTTTATAGGACTTAGCCGATCACAAGCCACACATTGGTAGGGGTATATTTAAGATGTTTGAAATTCTAACAAATAATAGAAGTTCTAAAAGATATAATTGATATTGAGAAGCAAGTGAGGGGAGCTTCATTCAGAGCACATTTTGAAATTAAATAATCAATCATATAGAAAATAGAGTGTTTGGGTATTTTGTACCAAAACGTGGTTCCCGTACAAATAAATGATTTTGAACGCAAATGCAAATAGGCACTACATATACAAACGCCACGTTTAGTTAGAATGATTGATTTTGTTTAATAAAGCATTATGAATGGCACATTGTGTCTCGTTTGGTTTCCCTCTAAGGAATAGAAGCTATAATGCTTTGTTTGGTATGGTATGGTAGAAGAGTTTTTTTAAGAAAGTAGAAGTGAAGTTGGAAGTGAAACTGAGTTTAAAACTATGTTTTGTATGTTGATGGGAGTGAGATGTCAATTTTAATTAAAATATCCATTTATAACATGAAAATGCTTGAATGCCTCTACTTGAAAAAATCTTAAACCCCTTCACCCCTCCAACTGCAACCACCATAAGTTGATCCAATATATGAAAGTGAATTATATCAAGGACAAAACCAACCAACAATGATCAAAAGCGTGTATGGAGATTTATATCAAAAACAAAAAAACGAATCAAAGGGTATTCAAATAAAAGAGAAAATAGAGATTCAATTATGGCAAAAATCATCAACCATTACACAGGTCTAGAGATGCAATGATGGCAGAAATCAAAGAGAAAATGGAGATGCGGTGGTGGCGACCATCACCCACCTTCTCACTTGCTTTGCCATCAATGTCAACCTCTAAAGATGTAATGGTGGCAATCATCCCCTACGTCTCTCTCTCATCTTGCAGATCTTATGCAACTATAATAATCATCACCCACGTCCTCACTCTCTTCATTACCAACTTTAACCTCTATCGTAGCTTCATTACTATTGCCAATAGGAGCCATCAAGGAAGTAGGTTGCACCGTCAAGGAAAAGGGGAGAATGTTGGAAGGGTCATTATTGATGAAGAGAAGATAAGGTTGGAGAGAGTAGAGATGGGAGTAGGGTTCGTGACATCCCAAGATTTAAATAAGGGCTAATTAAGTCAATTAAAGAGTTGGATTAATTAATCTAGATCCTAATCGGATTAATTGGAGTGATTGGATGGTCATTGGGTTCATTGGACCCTATATGCAAGTGTAATTTAGATCTGTTTATGAGGTGGCCCAATTTAGTGGGCTCAAGTGAGGGTTTCCAAAATGCACCATTTGTTGTGGCTCACAATTCCATTGGTTGTGACGGATGCAATGAACTTTTAAATTTACATAAACACAAATAGTTTAAAATGGGAGGAATTTTAAAGGAGAGTTTGAGAGGGAAGTCTAAAGGCTCTGATAGAGCTTAAGTTGTTAAAGGCTATCTATGCCCATTAAGACTTTGGGTTAGCTTTCTCTTTTCTTCTTCTCTCCTTATCTTGAGTTTTTTGCACTTCTTTTTAAGCTGTTGAGTTAAGGTCTGAATCTAGAGCCAAGTTGTAGCAACTTTAATGGCCTTAATAGAGTTTAACGAGAGTAATTTAAGTTTCTAATCCCTGGGTCTTGTTTAATGGTAGTGATTTGTGTAATATTCTAATTTTATTTAAGAATTTAATTAAGAAAATTATGATATTCAATTGAGAATTAAATTGTATTTTGAAAAAAATTGAGGCTAAGGAGTTTGGGCTCTCTTTCTATATGGAGAAAAGGCCGATATCAAAACTCATTGTAAGTATCATTGAGTAAAGTGGAAAGGGGTCAAGTTAGGTCATGTGAGAGAGGTTATATTTGAGATTATGCTACAACCATTTAAGAGAGAAGAAAAGAGAAAGCTAATTTCACAAGGCAGTCTTAGAAAATCAACGTCTGCAAGTCCGTTGATTGTTTGATTAAGCTAAAATTTGGTCAACAGGTTTGTAGCACCCGACTAGTCATTTTCAATGGCTGCATTATTGATTAGTTTTATGCTGTGAGAGTTATTCACTTCATCATCCATAACCATGCTCACGTCTTCACGGAGCAATCTTGGTAAATCGGCGCTTAGGAATTTGTTAACCATTAAAATAGGTTGAAATTTAGTTAGCAAGTTTGTAACATTCAACTCATCATTTTCAACAGTTGGATCGCTAACTCATTTCCTGATGCTAAAGTTATTCACTTCATCATTGGTGTGGAATTTTGCCTAAGTTAATGAGATTAACTAATCCAACTTCAGGATTAGTATGATATTAGTGTCATGCACTATAATTAATTTAATTAATATGTGATGGTAAGCCTTGGGATGAGTAGCCTCCTAGTTAATGGTAAGCCTTGAGAGGGAAGATTGGAATATTCACAACTCATAAATGCAAGTTAATTGTTATGCATGTTTACTTATGAATGTATTTTATATGTGATGAAGCTCGTGTTAATAATGGCTTAAGAAGGGAGACAGTTGATTTTGGTGTTTTTAGCATGAATGCTTATTCTGGCACCAAGTGTTATAAGATTGTTATATGACTATAGATTAGAGTATGGCATGAGCCATTAGTTAGTTTATTTAATAATAACGTATCTTAGATGTGTGCACCAAGTGGATGTGTGGACCACCTTAATTGAAGGTCCAAGCTATAAATTAGGTATCCTAGAAGTTAACAATTAAAACCATTTAATCTGTGTTGTAATTGTGCATGTACCATGGCGGACGTGCTTGTTTTGCTAAAATATCTGTTTGGCCCCTGTTTGAACTAGTCTTGAATGTCAACCTATTTTCATGTTTCCATGAACTTTTTATGCTATGATTTTAAGTATTTTTCAAATATTTACACATCATCAATCTTTTTCAAATAATTTTAGAATTCAATTGTTTTTAATAATTTCAACAGTAGTTGAGAAATTAATCTTAACAAATGTTAATCATTAGCTTTAATATATAGCTAATGACAAAAGTCATTATAAAGTCTAATGGAACCTAATTCCATAAGACGTGTGGTGGAACCAAATTTATCAATTTTGCTGGAACTAAGTTCTTTCAGGAACTTAGATATTGCATACCAAATATATAAAAGAATGGGTTTCACTTCCCTCACCCCAATTTCATGATACCAAATGAGTCGTAAAATAAATAAAAAATAATTTTAAAGTGATGTTTGCATGGACATATTTTGATTTTAGATTTAAAATCTCATGTTCAATATCTTATATTTCAAATTTATGTATTTTAAATCTTTTATTTGAAATCTGAATAGTATAAAAAATTTCAAAAAGAAAAAAGAGAGATGATATGAAACTTAAAACAAAAATAAAACTATAAAAATTAAGTTATATTAAATTAAAATTTAATAATTGAGTTTTGAATGAATCATAACTATGATATATGAATTATTTAAATTTAAAATTTGGGAATTAAGGTACAGCTGATATAACTATCACAAAAAGATAGTAGCCTAAATAGATAAAAATTAATATCCAAAGTGAAAATAAATAGGGAGTCAGTATACTTTGGTGGTGTTTTGTTTTTGATCCTTTCAGTGTTATTTTTCTGTTATCAATCCTTTTAGTTTGATTTATTTGCATAATTTTTTGAAATATTAGCGAATGCTATTCACAACTCGTCATCTCTTATCAACGTGAAGCCTCTCCTTAAAACAATAACCCATAATATTATATTATATTATAATATTAATTATTATAATTATAAAAATTATTTCATTTCTAATATGATTTTTAGATATGATCTTCACAATTAATCATTTATGGTAAATATTATATAAATATTAAATGAATTGCAGTTATATGCATATTTATTAAATATAAATAAACAAATTTAATAATATCATATATTAATATTTACATCTTAAAAGATAATGTCCTTTGCTGTAATTGGTACATTTAAAATTTATTTTAATTTTAATTGAAATCATCCGAATATCTCAAAATCAATATGTTAATTTTTTTATAGTTAATTTTATACAACTGAAATCCAAACACACTAGAGTATGTTTTTCATCCTTTTTGACCTGTATGTGTGGATTATGAGGCTAAATATTTATTCGAATTCATGATTAATCAGTCCCGTGACATGGATGTTCAAATTATATGTGAAAAATGGTAAAAAATGGCAGGACTTTTTTTCCCCCCCGTGGACAGAGTCAGGACCCAGAAAACACTGACAACTTTTTTTTTTTTTTTTACTCCCAAA